TTGCAAAGGGCTGTATGGATAATTTATTAGATAATATCACGTTCGAAAATCATGAGTTAAACAAACATTTATAGTATTATTTCTAATTAAAAATCTAAAGACTTTCTTGTTTGTAGCTTCAACGCATGACTTCGAAAAGAGAGATTCACTGGCGGAGTTGGCTTTTGCGTCTGCCATTTTGCATCCCATACTGATGAAGCATACATGTCCTCCAAATGGCTGGAGCTATTGCTGTTCTTGGAAATGCTACCCCATTGATGGATATAGAAAACCGTACGTACGAAARAGCGATATCTATATTTATCCAAAAGCCTTTGACAAGGGATTGTTATAGAGCTAATAGCGATTGCCAGAATTCAAAGTGTTAGAAGCTGGGACGAGTCCAGGTCCCATAGTAAACGACTTCAGGCTATCCAGAGATGCTCGAATGTTTACCCCAAAGATCAAATTCCGGYCGGTACGAGATTTGAATTGCCTGACTTTTCATTTAGCTTTGTGAATAACATTATTGGGTCTTGTAAAGTCATTTTCATGAACTCTTTCCACTCCCAAACACGGTAAAACTTTTTCGACTACAATTAGATGAGGGGTCTTAGTATTGTGCGGGTTTATGAGCTTCCAATCGATCGTTCTTCGGACATTTGGCATAGCATGCAATGCCTTTTTACAGATTATTTTCTAAMAACGTATGCAATCACTAAACRCCTTGTGCTCCACGCCTTGTGCATCAAGATCTCGAGGCTTTTGATSTCTCTCGCGAACCGGTGGCGGAGCTTGTGCTGATTTTTCTTTCCTATATGCCATCGCTAAGTACCATTTTAGACAAAAAATGCAGAAAAACTGTATTGCTGTATTTGTGAACTGAAGTATAGGTGACCTCCTACCTAAGTCATCTGTTTTAAAAATCTAAGAAGAGTGAAGAACTATAAATAGCATACGTTCCGCATCCAAGTCGCAGGAAGAACAAATTCCGAACGAATTTCGAAACCCCGTTAAAACGAACAATGCTATAAGTATTTCACAGGTTTGTGATGAAAAAGATTAAGTTAATATTAAATAACACAAGAGTGATGCAATTCGTGTAGAGTTACATCATAACCGTCATTTTGAATGAAAATATCAAAGCATTTCGTTGACCTAATTCCCTCTTTCATCCAACATGRCGGCGATGGTCAAATTGCTGTTCATTCATGCAGTTAACAAATCTGGTTCTTATATCAAATATTCGTATCTTCAAGTATGAAGACTTTTATAAAACACTAGTGTCTTTTGCGTCTTCATTGTTATTAACTATTTTTTATTGGGTCGTTTGTGCTTTTTGCTCTTCTCTGTTAATGACCACAAGAGATTGTACTTGTTGTATTTAGTGTACTGTTCGGAAAGGAATGGCACGTAAAACGCTCTTAGAAGTCGATGAGAGCTGAAATACAAACCAAAGAWTGTATAAGATTGGTTTACATTCAAAGAAAAGTGATTCGACTGAAATAAGTTAGGAAAAAMTAMAAGACATAAAAGGAAGRCCACAATAAAGCACAAAAAAATGAGGACCTATAAACACGAATCCAGAGAGTTCTCTTTCCGGGATATTATAATTTCTTTCGGATACAAAAATATCTGCGTCCACACGTACCGGATACGAATCGTATACAACAATACACTAGCACATATTTCATATCATTAGCCCGCCATCTTGAATTGGCGTGCAATGCATTATGGGGCAGTTATCTCCAGTTTTCGCCAGCTGGAGTTGTAGCCACCTCGAGATGTATGAATGTTTGTATTGACTGTACGTATTGACTAATTAAACAAAATAGTACATAAATGTGAAGTGTTGAGCTGCAGCAACCACCGCAAAAGTCCCCAAAAATAAGTGAAATATTTTTAATTTATATATTTTGTGTTCATCTCTTCTTTTCTAAAAAAAACAGATTCAAATTGCGAAGCATTGAATCGTTACAATATGGAAACTCATGTCATTTTCTAAGCTTAGTTTTCAAGTTTTTTTTTCTAGGTAATACACATTTATCTAACCGCCAAAATGCATTGCGCCAACGGGTCTCAGGCTCCCGCGGGTAGCGATATGGACTATGTATTCGATACGATCCCGGATATCTCAAAAGGAAGTCAAGAGTGAATGCGTATTAAATGTTGAAACGTCATAGATTAYAAAAACATACTTTCGGATACGAGCGCCCACATACGCGTACTCGACGCTTATCCGACCGCTTATCCGTAGACACTGCAGAGATACCAAACAAATACGATGGACATGTGTGTACGCTCCTTGTATSCGAATAAAGACGTTTGAAGATACAAAATCTCTCTGGACTCGTTTGGACAGGTCCTGAATTTAAAAGAACCATATAATAGCACTAAAGCCGCCACCTTCATTCCAAAGGCATCCCACAATTTCTTACAGCAATAGAATTCAAGATGGCTACWGTATTGCCGAGGTCTATTCTACAAAGTACTTTYAATCACCTGCTGGTATCTAGAAATGGCTTGGAGTGTAGAACCTTCCATCGTTTTGTCATTACAGAGTAGTTTGGTTCTCGTGGTGATGCTCTTCCTGTATCCATGTCAACAAGGAATTGACATTCTTTCAAAGGCACCTATGGTGAACAAAAGCGTTAAATTGGAAAATAGTCATGTCCCTAAAGAAATTTACGGTTCTGAGAGCATTGATGAAAGGTGACAACCTCCTTTGCACTGAAAGAAGACGCCGAATATGCTGGAAATGATRAGCTGAAATCTTCATYTCGCTTATAACTATGAACTACTACGTCCCAGTACATGTACTAGTTTTTCATAGGTAAATTCCGGAATTTCTTCAAACTACAAACATTCATTTGAATCTGGGTGGGTATTAAACTTTCACATCATTTAAGGATCATGAATATTCTTGATTTAAATCAGAAAACATAAAGCTTTTAACTACAAATTGACTAATCTCAAAAATGTGATGCAAGCGAGCTTAGCCTCGAATCTATGTGCAAATTGATTATTATTCTATTGTTTTCTGTCGTAGAACCGAGGCTATATTCCTGCCTGTACTAGATTTTTAAGAATAGCTTTGAAAAAGTTCTTTTTTCCAGATTATTCCTGGTAGTACTTACATATCTTGATTTCTCCTCTGCGTTCCTGTCATTCATATCAGTAGGGATTATATATGTAGCATTCTTGCCGGGACCATAAGGCTTTGGAAGCTGAGCTYTAAAGTCGGACTCTATAAACTGTAAACGCCATCTACGAATCCAAAAAGAAACAATAACAAGCCGTGAGATTATATTGTAAGGGTCGCTAGACAATCATCGAGCGAAAAAGAYATTCTCATTTCGTACAASCGACCCAAGAATGCTTTTTACATCGTTATTCCTATACAATCTGATTAAATACAAAAGCTAAGGAACTGAGTAATCCGAATTTCACCATAAGTTACTTTAAAGTTTACTTCTAAGCAAGGAAGACTTTCAGAKTATTTTCCTCTCCAMCTCCATTGGCGGTTCTGCCAACATTTCAAATGGCTATTATGAGCAATATTTTGGTTTGTTCGCTCATGTTTTATAATTTTAAGCTTTAATTTAGTTGTATTAAATTTTTTCGTTCGCTTTTTTATTTTCTCTTTATTTCGATTAATATTTTTCTTTATTTGCGGCCATTTTATTTACARCCTCACCTATCTGAAGGTAAAAAGAAGCTACTGGGGAATCTGTACCATTCTTTGCCAACGCACACATTGATTTGTTTTTGATTGGGATGAATGAAGTTGTCGATGCTGTCATTCATGTGATTTAACTCAAGATACAAGTCGAGAGGGGCATGGTACCCTGTAAATATAAACACTGTACTAAATGACTTTGTTTTCTATGAGTCCGACAACCCTTGAAGTACGCGGTCTTACAGAGGGCATTTCGCGTGAGTGGGAAATTTATATTGGCACGGTGTGGTTACTACACATCTAGGCCTTGGAGATTTATTCAACGATTTACCATGAAAGACCACTCACAGACTACAAAATGGACCGTGACATAAGCTATCCTGCATGCAGTCGAACCAAGTTTTGATTCGGCTGCACGCAGGCTAACATAAGCCTTCTTTTTATAAAGTAAATAGATGAAACAGGATATTAAACTTTGAATTTGACTTGATTTAATACCAATTATTATTTCTTAAAATCAGCATTGTGTTTACTCAAGGGATAAACTCAGGGAATTTCATTCAATGTTATTTCGCTCATTACAGTCCGCAGGAAATAAATGGTTCTCAAGTATTTCATTAACACGAAAACTACTCTAAAACGATCATCATTGAGACGATGTGATTGCAAATGATGAATTACGGCAATGATGATAATAATCATGATAACAGAAGATCGTGATGTTTACCATAGAACAAGGCGCTGGATCTCGAGATGGAGAGCAGTGAATACACTACACCAGYAACAATGACAAACCACATGGACGAAGATGAGTAGTGTTCCTTGGATGTTCTTGTAAAAACATAGTTGTAAAGTTTCTAAAACAAAAAAAAATATCGTCATCGCATATAATTGTCCAAGAAATACCTACAATTCCTATGTGTGCAACCACATGACCATAAATCCCCTTAGAAATAACGAACATGCTATCGCCGCTATGATGATGAATGAACAAGAGAAACTAATGAGGAATGCTTTGTGAYTTTCATCCAACATGGCGGCGATGACGTAACTTGCACGCCAAGAATTTAATATCCTGTAATGTTACAAACAAAGTCAAGCGAGTCAACAAAAAGCGCGCGCAAAATTACGACCCGCGCTCCCCGGGCAAAGTTTGGAATGTATTTGCTTATAAACAGACAAATGAGGGGGCTATCGTTAAATTTAACATCAGCTAGCCCAGGTTCTTTTTAACCCCGATTAGCGTTAGTCTAGGATTAACTCCATGCGTTTTTTAAGATTTAACCCAGGATTAGCGCTATTCGAGTTTTAAGCAACCCGGCACAGTTTTAAATGTACATACCTGTAACTCTGATAACGACACTGCTCCAAAGAGAATAAACATAGGRTAGATAGGATACAAGAATCGCTCCTCCTATTGACATGATTCAAAAAGATGAATAAAAACCAGAAATGAATTTAAGAAATTTTGGAAAAGTATTTAGCTTGGCATTCTTCATGTATTCTTCATTCTTCCTATTGGTCTATTTTCCTTCCTACTCCTACTGTATAAACTCACCCTTTACCTATTTTCATCACTTTTACTCCGACGAAGGATTAACGTCCGAAACGTCAGTAAGTTATTTCACATACTTTTTTACGGTGTTAAATTTATCTTTTTACATAACTGTTTCTTTAGAAACACCGACGCAGCTCACACTAGTTTACCGCTAGTTCCCACCATTCTTCATGTACTACAGACCACCATTTTCTTATCCATTCACATCTTCACTTTTTCCATTCATTCGTTTCGTGTCTTACAATATTTTAACATGCTTACTTTGTGAGGTCTGGTAAAAAAGATTCCAATCCATAGATACATTGCTATCATAGGTAACCATACAGGGACATTAGATGAACGAACTATAAGTAATTAAAATAAATAATTAGATTTAAGAAACCTTTTTTTAACATTAGAGCTTTCATAACTTCATGCAACATGTTTAYTTTATTAACATACTTACATTTTCTTTGATGCTTCTCAACAATAAGAAGCTTTGTGATGCCCTTTATAATAAAAACAACATTTACATTGATTGTGAAGAGATATAATATATATCACTGACTGATTATTGAATGAATGACATCATAAATGTTTGACGTATGAATGGATAAAACTTTAAATCTGTAACGTACATTTGTGAAGCGCAATTACTATGATTGTATTTACTATAGACAGTACATTCATAATTGACTTTTTTGTTAACAATAACCAGGATATAAAATATACAGTCACAAATCAATACAATATTAGACCAATCCCGCATTCGCTTGGATRAACACGAAACAATGGCTTCATTTCGAGGCTGGAGTTTTYSACAAAAGATAAAACTYCAGCCTTRRAATGAAGCCATTGTTTYGTGTTCACMWAAGCGATTGCGGGATTGGTCYATTAGAATTTAGCAGGTTAGAATCACATSAACRAGACTAGTATGATTAAGTTAACTGTAATGTGTGAAAATGAGCCGCTGAAAAACTGTGCTGACTCTATAATAAACATAAGTTCCATCTAGTGATTGAATTTTGATGATTGTATTAGATCATAGGATATACAAAGGAATCAAATGTGGTATGCTTGCAATTAGAAAACATTCTCAAGGCTTGAACAATAACTTATTAGCTGACAGACAAGTGAAGAAAACAATTGGCGACATTAATTACATACATACCCAGAATGGCAATGCAAATAGAGATAGTATRAATACTACATTGAAATTAAGGAAACCATTTATGAAGTAAAATGWCCAAGGCTCAACACCTATGAACAAACATATGCAATAACAACATGAAAATTGAAGAGAATGTTAATGTGAAAAACAAACATCTAACCTACCATAGAGATCTGGTCCTCCCTTTCCAAATACATTATACAAGACTATGTTTAAGGGGGCTACAACCACTTTTCCATAGAACTGAGAATCAATGTAAACTATTGGTCCCTGAAATCATAAATCGTCTTATGTAGTTAGGTTCAATCTTTCTGATTGTGACATATGACTGAATATGCCAGGGATCCAAACTCAAATACATGTTGGAAATAAAGAATAAATTACCAATCAAACTCAATATTTCAGGAAACACAAATGTGGGCTATGTGATTCAAGTARCATTAGTGCAGTGTCAACTCTATCTGTTGRCTTTTTGATAGTTGACAAAGAATTAGCACTAATCAAGCCTTGAACAACCTAGCCCTGTTGAATATTTGAACATTATACCAACTAGTACTGATAAGTTATAAAACACATAATGTAAAAAGTAGACTTACCAGAATAATAATAAGAGAAATAATACACCATTCAATGAAATACAGTCGTCTCTGTTGTCGTATCAATAAATCCCAGGCTATGGGAACACTATAGTGACAAGAAATACAGTACAAAAGAAAAGAATAGAATTTATAGCACTTTCAACACTGGCACAATCTCACTTTTTTGAAATCAAGTCTTTTCAGGTAAACGGTTAACCARACTTTCAAGTTTAATATCACAGTCTTTTGCGTCTTTTTTTCTCAGCTGAATTTGACTAAAAATGCTTAATTCTGTTTAACAATCATTGTACAACTATTTGTTTTAAATATTTTAAATTTCACTGAGCAAATCTTCAGTAAGTTTATCTGCTTACCCTAAAATCGCACTAAATGGCCATCCAACGAATGCTCCTGCTGCAGTACAAACTATTGCAATCTTTAAATGTACGACAAATAATTAATACAGCCTTTTGCAAAAATTATGAGAATTGTCTTAAATATCTAAATATCATAATATCTATATCCATATATTGTCCGGAACACGCGGGTTTGCTAGAATAATTCATTGTTGACATCAAGAAAATGTTGAGAACTACGGATAAGTCTGTCGCCAAAAAAAACTAAACTACAAAAACAAGGGACTAAGGGCATCGTGCGGGATTACCCATCATGCACTCGATATTATGATATTTAGATATTTCAACAATTCTCATAATTTTTGCAAAAGGCTGTATAACTTAAAATATCAATAGTAAACATATTCAGACACCTACTACAACCAGAGTTAGTAGTACTGTTTGTTCTACTTACAGAGTAATGACCAGMAAACCAGCCTCCATATGATAGCAATACCATGTACATAGCAAAGCTGCTAGGCAAATATGCTACATAAAACAGCAATAAATCAAATATATAAAGAGAACAGTACATAAAGAATGARTAAATGACTGAAAAATGTGAAATAAAGTAATGAATGGCTAAGATGAAAAATGAATGAATTTAACAAAATTTCATTTTAAGGAACAATATTAAATAGAATAATTGATGGATGGATGGATGAATTGAGAAATGAGAAATGGGAGAATGGAAGAAAATCCTAAATGATTGATTGGTTGATTGATGATTGGATGAATTGAGAAATGAGAAATGGGAGAATGGAAGAAAATCCTAAATAGAAAGCTTGGATAGCATGAGATGTACAATGTCATGCATTTGATCTGTGACTCATAGGTCAAGTCATAGATAAAAATTCTAATTGATTCAATTGATAACAAATGGAGAACTTGACTTGTAAACATTTAATGGTAAGAATAAGGCCTACCAGCAGCTGAAATAAACATGCCAGTACTGAACACCATAAAAACAGCACACAATCTRGCAACATGGCTCCCAAACTGCTTAGCAATTCCGCTAAAACAAAATTAGAATTACATTTTCAATAATTGTTGCAAATAACTTTAAGAACTAGTATAACAGCATTTATGATATTTACTTGCCTGTAGAAATAAGCCTCAGATGCAGCACAAATTATCGACAGCATAAATCGAAGGAAATAAAATACTAAGACCTGCAGAAAAAGGTGTTCTCATCAACTTTTCACAATAAGTATTTTTCCAGTTCAATGCGACCGACCGCTGTTTTAACAGACAACAGACTCACTTGCGCAGAGAACAAAAGAAAGCACGAAAAAATGTTAGCATTACAATAGCTCTAGAAATTCAAATCTTCTCCAATTTGAGGCTTAGCCTGAGCAAGAGTTTGAACGTTCTGGGAATATAAACATATCGGTGAAAATGCAAATTTATAGGGCTATTGTAACGACAACATTTTTCCGTGCTTTCTTTTGTTTTTGGTAAGGTCTTTGCGCATGAGAGACTGTTTTCAACTAAAGCAAGTGGTTGCTCGCTTTGAACGGAAAAAAGGTGTATTACATGTTCATACATGTTTGCAATCTGTGTGTATATCTATGAGATTAGATTAGGGGCATAGGAAAATAAATCTACTTATTGGATAATTTAACTACCTACCTTATTTGCCTTGAAGACATGTACTTGTGCAAAGCCTGGTAAAGCATTCAATAAGAGATAGGCATAGGATCGTATGGCATATTGAGGAGAATATTCCCATGTCTGAAATCCAGTACCATATAACAGGTAATGAGTCTGTAAAAGAAATGMTATCAATGCATGTAATTGGACTTTTAGGAGTTTTTATATTAGAGTTATTATAGTTCTTGTCATTCTCTGCTGATCTTGGAGGCTAAGGCACAATTGGAAGCATYGTGGTACATGCAAGGTATCCCTTGAAAGGGCCTCTGCGAATGTAATATGACACCTTTTCACTGGACAGGTTATGCATACAGTTATAAATACTCT